TCCAGCTCCCGCAGCCACCGCGGCGATGAGCGCGCCGGCGGCGGCGGCGACTCGACCCACCGCCCGGCGGGGAGCGGCTCGGCCTCGGGCGCCCGCGGCGGCAGCCAGGCCGCCCCCTCGTCCTCCTCCTCCTCCTCGTCCCGGGCGCTCGGCGTGCCCAAGGCCAAGGCGCTGCCGGGCGCCGTGGTAGCCCCGTCGCTGCTGCTGGCCGGGCCGCCGCCGGGCGCCGCGCCCTCGCTGCTGCTGGCGCCGCTCGGGGGCTCGGCCGGGCTGGCCGGGGAGCCGCCCGGCTCCTGCGAGTACAAGACGCTGCTGGTGAGCGGGCTGAGCGCGGCCCTGCCCGACCAGCTGCTGGAGGACGGGCTGTTCCGCCTCTTCCAGCGCTTCGCGGGCGGGGGCGCCGGGGACATCAGTGTCAAGCTCTCCCACACGCCCGAGCTCGGCCGCGTCGCCTACGTGAACTTCCGACACCCCGGGGACGCCCGCGACGCCCGGCGGCACGCCCGGGCCCGGCAGCTGCTCCTCTACGACCGGCCGCTCAAGGTGGAGCCCGTGTACCTGCGCGGGGGCCGGCGCAGCCGCACGCCGCCCCCCGCGCCCTCCCCGGAGCCGCTGGGGTACCTGCCGCCCCTGCACAGCGCCTACCAGTACAAGCAGCGCTCGCTGTCGCCGGTCACCAGCCCCTTGCTGCGGGAGCCGCGGCCCCGCCACGCCGCCGCTGCCGCCTTCGCGCTGGAAGCGGCTGCCATCGGGCTCTCCCGGGAGCGGGAGCGGGCCCTGGATTACTACGGGCTGTACGACGAGCGCGGCCGCCCATACAGTTACCCTATCGTGGCCGAGGAAGACCTGATGCCAGAGGATGACCAGAGAGCCACCCGCAACCTCTTTATCGGCAACTTGGACCACAACGTGTCGGAGGTGGAGCTGAGGCGCGCCTTCGAGAAATACGGCATCATCGAGGAGGTGGTGATCAAGCGCCCCGCACGTGGCCAGGGTGGTGCCTACGCCTTCCTCAAGTTCCAGAACTTGGACATGGCTCACAGGGCCAAGGTGGCCATGTCAGGCCGTGTTGTGGGCAGGAACCCCATCAAAATCGGCTACGGGAAAGCCAACCCCACCACCCGGCTGTGGGTGGGGGGCCTTGGCCCCAGCACTTCCCTGGCTGCCCTGGCCAGGGAGTTTGACCGCTTTGGCAGCATCAGGACTATTGACTACGTGAAGGGCGACAGCTTCGCTTACATCCAGTACGAGAGCCTGGACGCTGCCCAGGCCGCCTGCGCGCAGATGAGGGGCTTCCCCTTGGGCGGACCAGAGAGGAGGCTCCGAGTGGATTTTGCCAAAGCAGAAGAGACGAGATACCCGCAGCAGTACCAGCCTGCGCCGCTCCCCGTGCACTATGAGCTACTGGCTGATGGGTACAGTCGGCACCGGAGCCTGGAGCAAGACTTGAGGGTGCGGGATAGGACTCCTCCGCACCTCCTGTACTCGGACAGAGACAGGAGCTTTGTGGAGGCGGACTGGGCCAGCCCTGCCAAAAACGCCGAACGCAGGAACAACCTGGAGAGCTACAGCCGGTCCGTGCGCAGCCGGAGCGGGGAGCGCTGGGGCAGCGACGGCGACCGCAGCGTGCCCAAACCGTGGGAAGAGAGGCGGAGACGCCGGAGTCTTTCCAGTGACCGCGGGAGGACTACTCACTCGCCTTATGAGGACAGAAGCAGGACAAAGGCCAGTGGGCCAGCTCTAGACCGCAGCCCTGACAGGGCTCGCAAGGAGAATCACACTACAGAACCCGGAGCCGAGAAAGAGCAGAGCAACTCCCTCCAGAACAATCGTCATGCGGCCGAGGAGAAACCCCATCGCGAGCCAGCCGATGCTCCCCAGCCCAAAAAAAGGGACAGCGAACGCAATCATCGAACTGGTGAATCGGAATCAAAAACTCACGAGGAGCCAAAATCTGAGACCAAAAAGCTAAAGAATTTATCAGAATATGCTCAGACACTGCAACTTGCTTGGAATGGGCTTCTTGTGCTAAAAAACAGCTGCTTCCCCACCTCTATGCACATCCTGGAGGGAGACCTGGGTGTCATCAACGGACTCCTCAAAGACCATTCGTCTGGCGGGAAGTTGACGCAGCTCAAAATCGCTCAGAGACTTCGGCTGGACCAGCCCAAGCTGGATGAAGTCACCCGGCGCATCAAACAAGGCAGCCCCAACGGCTACGCCGTGCTCCTGGCCACCCAGTCAGCCCCGGCAGGGGCAGGGGCCGAGGGGACCTTCCCTGTGGTAGAGCCTGGCTTGCAGCGACGGCTTCTCAGGAATCTGGTCTCCTACTTGAAACAGAAGCAGGCTGCTGGGGTTATCAGCCTGCCCGTGGGAGGGGCGAAGGGCAGGGACAGCACAGGCATGCTTTACGCGTTCCCTCCTTGCGAGTTCTCTCAGCAGTACCTCCAGTCAGCACTAAGGACATTGGGGAAGTTAGAAGAAGAACATATGGTGATAGTTATAGTCAAAGACACTGCCTAGCCCACACTGTCTTTTCAAATTCCATGTTTTCTTTGTGTGTCACACAGCCCAGTTGTTTTTAAGGCTGATCATTTTGGTTGAGGCTCAAAACACCTTGACCAAAGTGGTAAGATTTTTAGTTTCTAATTAATTTTAATACCTATAATATCTATTAAAATTTTAAATAGAGCCCATTTTATTCGTTTTTAATATGTGACACTGTCCGCTGTTGTTCTGTATTTTTATTTTTTAACTGTATGAAAAGTTGTCAGTAAAGCCTTGTTCACTGATGGATTTCTAAACTTGTGCGGTATCCAAGTTCTTCTGGCCCAGGAAGGGTGAGTTCCCTGTGCTGCAGGCCAGGTGAAGCCCCAGCCCAGTTCAGCTCTCAGATCCCAACCTTGAGCACCTCCTTCATCTTTATATGTGTCCTTCAAGGTGGGAGAGGAAGAGGGGTTATTTGTGCTGTAGCAGAGACTGAAAGGTTGGTTCTCTATTTTTTATTTTTTGTCCTGTTTGCTTTTTATTTCGTAAATTTGAGTCTGGATGCTTTGTTGTTGAGTCTCTCTTTGAGAACAGAAGCTTCCCAGGAAGCCAGCTACCAAGGAAGCAAATCCTGATGAAGAATAAAAGTGTTTTTCATACACACCAAAAAATTAGTTGATACTTGGCAAAAAGTTTACTGGTAAGGAGTGGACCCTGTATTCAAGTTGGTGAGGTTTGAGACCACCTGGTACATGTCTCAGTCATAGAAATGCTTGGATAAAACAAAAAAGGTATGACGTTCCCAATTTTTATAAAAGGAAAAACAAGCAGAAGGGAAAAAAAGAGTTATTTAAGGGGGGACCCTCTTGGACCCTTATTCAATGTGGACAAGCCAGGGGCATGAAGGTGTTTAGTGAGCTGGAGGTGCTCATGTGCAGTCAATCATGTTGTACTACCTGGAATCCTTTATTGCAAGGTAAATGGCTATTTTTATTTTTTTTTTTTCCTAAAGTTTAAATTTGTTTGCAGGCTTACAAAAAAAGACAGAAATGTGTCTGTCTGGCTGAGAATGTGTCCTATTAGCACAGGTGACCTGTAACAGAAACCACTGGAGGTCAAAATCTGAGCTCTAACACGGGTGGATGCATCACCTCTGCTGTCTGTGGTATGAGGTGGTTGCTTGGGAGGCCTGACCCTTTGAGTGCTCAGCAACATAAGGATGTGGTAACAAGTCCAAGCTGGAGTTAAAATCCACATTGTTCTGTTTGGGGATATTTTTATTTTTCAAAGCGATGCCTGTAGATTTTAGGAGACTTACAGAAAATTGTGTGGGATTAAAAATGCTACATTTTAAAGTTTCTTTAGATTCGCAGGTGATTTTTTTATTGTTTTTCTCACGGTAAGCAAGTGAACAAATTTGTGGGAGAACCAGATTTACCTCACACTAATCTCTGTGACCCAGCAGCTCATTTGCTGAGGGTTGCCAAAAGCCCTTCTAAAACTCCTCTCAGGTATGATTGGTGTCACGACCCACTTAGCAGGGAGCATAATTCAATCTAATGATGCTTTTATTTTTCAGTTTTTAACCCTGCAGATGTAGGGACATCATCAGCTGGTGATGGCTTTATAATATCAACAAGTGTGGGTTGATTTGTTGGGCTGGGGGGTGGGGGTTGCATTTCACTTGATGCATTTTCTGTGAAGGAGGGGAGCCGAATGCTCCGCTGGGAGCAGCAGGGATCTGGGAATGCGCTGTGGGAGCAGATGAGCAGCTCCACTGCCTGCACTGGTGGCACTGGGCTGCCCCGATGTCACACGGTTATAGGGACACCGACTCCACCCTCGTGACCGAGTCCCCGATGCTGTTGTAACGCAGACGGTGCCAAATGTCAACAGTTGGTTCAGTGTTATCTGAAACCAAGTGCTATTAAATACCCCTCGTGGCTGGCCCTAGGGCGATTAGAGCCTTTTGTGGGAGTATCCTGCCTTGGAGGTGTCCCGGCAGTTGGAGCTGCAGCTTGTGCTGTGCCATGGCCTTTTGTGTGTTATGATGTGTGAATGTTAGGAAAGGGAAGGAAAAAAAAAAATCAGTAAATTAAAAAAACTGCAACTGCTTGCTGGCAAAGCCAAGGACCAGCCCAAAATCCCCCATCTCCCACTTTCCTTGTGAAATAAGTAAATAATAATGTAGGGTTGTTTAGAAGACAAAGGTTGGATGAGATTTGAATGATGGCATTTGTGTTCCCAGAGAGGTGGTTGATGGTTGTAAGCATGTGAGACCAACAAATCTCCCTCCTACCAAAATTAACAGGTGTAAAGGAGAAGTTGGAGAGTTACAGAAAAAACACCTGGGAGAGAAGCAGCAGCATCCGTCTGGCATGATGACCTGAGCCTTCCCTGCTCCCCAGCAGGCAAGGGAGCCACACCATGGCTTTAACACTGTGCCAAGGCCAAAGGCCCCATCCTGGACCCGTGTCCACCATCCCCTCCCTTCACAGATGCATCCAGGCTGATTCCAAGAGAAACAGACCTGGAAAAGGGTTGGCAGTTACAGCAAAATAACTGCATCTGGATCTTACAGCATCAAAGACTTGGGCCTTAAACTGGGATGGGCAGCAGTTCTGGGGAGAAGATAGGGGGAGTGGAGGCCTGAGCCCCTGGGTGATACTGGAAGGTGCTGGCTAAGGCAGTGCTGGGGTTGTTTTGGGGAGGATGGTGCCTTTCAGCCCAGTACAGTGGGGCAGTAAGGTGATCATGGCAGGGTAATGGTGTCTGGCTCCTCAGGGGTGATCTGAAACTCAAGCAGGGTGTGACATGGTGGATGGGCTGGTCTGAGTGTTCAGCCTGAGGTACCCCATCTTTTATTCTAAGCACACATTCAGCAAACATTCTGTCTCACAAGGTCTCTTTAACAGCAGTTGCTGGCTGTCTTTCCTACTGAAACAGGGATGAGGGCTAGCCCTGGATGTGCTTTGACCAGTGCTGAGGAGCCTCAGTCATTACCCATAGCTACACTTGGTGAGGTTTGTACCCTGCTCTCCCAGCCTCGGCCTGTGGGAGATTTTTTAAGCCCAGCACAGCAGGGATGTGCTGCTCCCTCCCAGGGTGCTGGCAGGGCACTCCACAGGCTGTGCTCCATGGAAGGGTGTGTCAGGCACTAAATGGACCAAGCAGGTACTGGGTCCCAGTGCAGTGACCACGCTGACAGGAGAGCACATGCTGCACTGGGCTCCTCTGCTCACATCGTGGGAGGAAACAGCATTGTCCCTGCTCCCCTCTGCTGCAGGAGTATGTCTTAGCCAGCTGGCAGGACATTTAAATCTTCCACCCCCCTAAGCCAGGGTCTGTAACTGCTGCATAGAAGAAATACTGTATGGCACCACATCAGCCACGTGCTGTGAGTATTCCAGAAGATTACAGGATCCTTTCCAAGCAGCATGCTTTTAAATAAGATTAAATCATGATGCCAGGGTAGCAGGTGATTTTCTAAATGCTGAGAGTTCTCCCTATCCCAAGCAGTTGCAGAATTATGGCCTGACAAAAACAAAATAATCCCTTGCTAGTGTCCAGTTCTGAACTCCACTTTGCACCCAGGTTGGTGCCATCATCTGTTCCCCAAGAACTCTTGAGTGAGACCCCCAGAACTAAGGCAGCAGCATGGAGTACAGGCAGCTTCCCCAGGTGTGTATTTAACTTCATAAAGGCCAGGTCTGGCCAGGACAGGAGACAGGGACTGCTTCAGCAGTTTTGGGGGGCTCACCTGCAGGCCCTGCCTCCTTCCCCACAGGGTAAGGCCCAAACCCACTCCCTTTGGCTCTGTTCAGTGGAGTTAGGGCAGGTGTGGGAGGAGAGGGAGGCTCGTATACTTACAGCACCTCAGCACACACAGGAGCTCCATCCCAGGTGTTTTGGTTCTGTCTCGCAAAACTAGCTGATAAATTTCTCCAAAATAGCCAGGCCCAAACCAGCAGCAGATGCAGCCAATTACAGCTGGGGTTTAATGCCAGAACAAGATATGGACATCTGGCACTGCAGCTCCCTGGGGGTAGTAGCTGAGTACATGCTTTACTTTTTTTTCTCCTCCTGAGCTGCACATTTTTCTATGGTGAAGTTGGGTGGGATGGTTTCTGACAAGGCAGAGGCTACTTCCACAGCTGCTGGGTGGCATATCCGATTTTCAATCCCCTCATTAATGAGAATGCTGCTCCAATTGCTGGTCTTGAATGCTGTAGTAGTGACTTGTTCATCCTTCTTGACTGTGTAGGGTACAATTATCCATTATAAGTTGCAGCAGAACATTTCTTTTTAATTATTAACAAGCAGCCCTGGATAAGTGAATTAAGTAGATGCAATGCTGGAGGGAAATAAAGCTACCCCTTCTTTCAGTTAAAAAGGAAATCCTCCCTCTTCAAGCAGTAAGACCTTTAGCCTTAGTTGAAATGAGCAGCTCTTGGTGGAAAACTGTAGTGTCAAGGAGTGAGAAGTCTCCAGTTCCCTGTTGTGCCTCAAACCCTATTCTGAAAGTGGCCAAAAGAGAGAAAGGGTTAAAAGGTGAGTGGATGGTATCTGAACACCTGGGAATAAACAGCACAGCTGTGGCCTTGTCCAGGCAAGCAGTGAGCAGGTTCACCTGCCAGCTCTGAGCACAGGCCCGAGCTGTGCAGTTGGCTGCTGCACTGCAAAGTCAAACACTCCACTGCCGTTTCTTCCTCCTCTTCTAAGGGCAGGGCATTTTGTCATGCCCCAACAGGAGCACCTGATTTTCCCTGTGCCCTGACAGCCACAGGGCAGCCTGGGTAATGCCAAACCACAGGAGGAAGCTGCTGCTGCTCCCAGCTCCTGGCACATCACAGGAGATGCGGAATTCCCTGCCTGAACCGCAGTGGACACTCTGGAGCACCTCCCCACACAACCACAGCCCAGCACCAGTGGAATCATCCAGCTCCCACACTCACTGTGGTGAAGATGCCACTGAGAATTCCAGGCAACCCAAGGGATCAGACTGGAACCCACAGCTGCTGTGCCATGGCCATCATGCTGCACCCCTTTTTGTGTTTCCTTTGCCCTTCCTTAGGTAGGTTCCAGCTCCACCTGGCTGCTCTCAGCCAAGCCCTGGAGGCACATGGAGCACTGCTTTTGCATAGCTACGATTCACAGCCATACACACAGATGGGATTTGTATTTAATTTTTTAATAAATACACTTTACATTAAAGAAAAAGGCCTTCAATTTGCAGTTTCCACACAGAGGGCAAGAGGGAAAAAAAAAAAAAAAAAAAAGAAAGAAATATTAAAAAACTTGAACCACAAAAGGTAGA